ATTTATTTGGTAAGTCACAGGTAGAAAAGTTATTCCTAGAAGAAATGGGCATCGAAAACAAGTGATCGAGGTGAAGGAAGGGCTTAGAGCTTAGAAGTGAGGAAGGCAATGGTAACCACCTGGAGGGATAAAAGGGGAAAAGGGGAAGATTGTGCTCTGAATCCTTCCTAAGGGTTTTTAAGGGTAGAGATTTTACGATTTTACGGGAGGTCCCAGGGGAAGCTTCAGCAGCTTTCCAGGTATGTCCTTTCAGGGTTATGGTCTTCCATTGATTGATTGGTCAGCGCCAGTGGTCATTATTCTATGCAGCTGTGGCTGCTTTTATTGTTCTTCTGGGTCTGGAACTGAAATACAACTGAAGCCTAGATGTTATCTCTAGGGAGGTAAGGTCAATGGGTCCAAACCGCAAGATCAGCGACATGCTAGGGGAGGAAGGTCACCCTGGAGGCTAGGTCCCACCCTACAATTGTCCTTTGCTAGGCACCCAGGGCTTTCCACTGCCAGGGTTTATGTCCCAGCATCAAGAAGAGTCCCTCCTTGTCTAGGACCCTTGCTTTTATTAACACAATTTGTCCTGAGGCAAGGTGGAGATAATACACCTCAAAGGGTACAAAGGCAGTGTGCAGTTGGGGGAATAGCCTAGGCTGTTCAGGTGTTTGGCCAGTAGGAGGCAATAACATGTAGATTAAGATGCCCTTTTAACTGTCTGGCAGCCACAATCAGTTTCCTATTCAGGTTTGGGGAAATGCCTTTAGCCATTCCCAACAGGTGACTACATGTGTGACTCAACCCTGTTGAGTCCCCAAGTTTCATCAACCTTTTGATGAAACTCTTGAAATGATGACATGCTGGAATTGGTTCCCGGCACTTGCACCCTGGTGACTTTCTGTACTTGGCCCATCCTCCTTGCTCTGCTCAGGTCTGTCTAACAGCCGTGGGCAAACTACGGCTTGAAATGAATAAAACTATTGAAAAAAAAGACTGTACCCTTTTATGTAATGATGTTTACTTTGAATTTATATTAGTTCACACAAACACTCCATCCATGCTTTTGTTCTGGCCCTCGGTCCACTTTAAGAACTCACTGTGGCCCTCAAGTCAAAAAGTTTGCCCACCCCTGGCTCTAACTGCATACCACAGTTTTTCCAGACATTAGTCCTAGAAATCATAAAATAAGAATTAATACATTTGATTCTTATTTTGGTAAAAAAAAACAAAAAGAGCTTAACGTTGAAGAAAAATAGGACAAAAAGACACCACCAGTCTTTACCCCTCACCCTCACAATCCGGCCCCCTCTTCCCCCCAAAAAAACAACAACCCAAAAAAACAGGAACTAATCAAAACATGCTACAAACTTGAGGGAGCTATTTGCCAGATTACCTAAGAGTTAATTTCCCTTTTTAAATATGTTTTTGTTGCTGTTGTTAATCCTCACCTGAGGATATTTTTCCATTTATTTTTATTTTCCATTGAGTGGAGGTGCGGGGGAGAGACAGAGAGAGACACATCAATTGGCTGCCTCCTGCACAAGCCCCAACTGGGCGAGGATCCAGCCTGCAGCCGAGGCCCGATGTACCCAGAATCGAACCCGCAGCCCTTCAGTCTTAGGATCATTATTAAAACCTTGGCATTGGCTTTTAAGGTAATTGTGGTAGAGGAAAGCAAAAAGAAAAGCAAGCTTTCAGGAATACCATTTTGTGGATAAAAAAATTAAGATCTGTTGATGGCTCCAAAATGTTAGTTGTTAGTGAGAGGCAGATATTTTTCTTCACTATCAGCTCTTTCGTTGTAGTTTTAATGAACATCCAGGATATTTTATTGGCTAAGATTCAGATAATGAATATACCACTGAGTATGCTTGTGAATAAGTCAGTTAAAATATTTGTGTATTTGTTGTCCCACTTCTAAAATCAATATACAAATTGTCATTTTCTATTTCAAATATTTGAAGAAACCTATGATAGGCAATTATTTGGAAATTCCAAGGCTGAACCCTGAAATTATCTGTTTTCAGGAATTTGTTTATAGAATGTATTTCCCAAATACATATACTTGTTAGTATATGTATCTTGAAAATTTCTTATCTTGAAAATTTTATAGTAGGATTACTATATTAACCAAAGCAGAGGATAAGCTTTGTTTATGGAATTTTTCTGGTGAATATATTTCAGTAGCAAATATGTCTGGAATAAAATAATATATAGGTCTTATTTTGTTTAAGAAACATTGCTAGATGTAATGGTCTTTCAGATTGGCCTGATAGTTGTTCAGGATATGAACATTCACAATGAATATAAACTACTGGTTTAAAAATCAGACATCCAAAAGCAATTCTGAAGGCACTTAGAGCCTTCAGTTAAAATCACCTAAAGCAGTCCTAGCCGGTTTGGCTCAGTGGATAGAGCGTTGGCCTTCGGACTGAAAGGGTCCCGGGTTCAGTTCCAGCTAAGGGCACATGCCAGGGTTGCAGGCTCGATCCCCAGTGGGGGGCGTGCAGGAGGCAGCTAATCAGTGATTCTCTCTCATCATTGGTGTTTCTATCTCTCTCTCCCTTTCCCTTCCTCTCTGAAATCAATAAAGAAATATATATATATATATATTTTTAAAAAATCACCTAAAGCAGGAATCAGTAAACCTTTCTTGTAAAGGGCCAGATAGTAAATATTTTAGGCTTTGTGAGCTAATATGGTCCCTGTTGCCAAGATTCAACTCTGCTACTATAGTGCAAAAGCAGCCAGACAATACATAAATCATGTTTTAATAAAACTTTATTTAGAAAAACAAGCAGGGACCATAATTTGCCAGTAAGTTTAAAAACATACCATATATGGGAACTCTCCATAATTTCTGCTCTATTTTTTTGTAAACCTAAAACAGCGAAAAAAAAAAAAAAAAGGTATTGCCCTAACCCGGTTTGGCTCAGTGGATAGAGCGTAGGTCTGCGGACTGAAGGATCCCAGGTTCAAGTCCGGTCAAGGGCATGTACCTTGGTTGCGGGCACATCCCCAGTAGGGAGTGTGCAAGAGGCAGCCAAATTGATGTTTCTCTCTCATGGATGTTTCTAACTCTCTTTTCCTCTCCCTCTCCCTTCCTCTCTGTAAAAAATCAATAAAATATATATTTTTTAAAAAGTATTATAATTTTTTTGAAACAGAAGATGAAAATAATTAGAATTGAGCAGTGATCAAAACCTCCATGGAATCTCTTGGGTTCACTGAGTAATAAATCCACTGGATGAATAAATCATAAGCATCAACTATCATATGTGCTCTCAGACTTTCTCACATTGTTCGATGTTACTGGGATCTTTTATAAGACCTATTTTTTTTTTTAATATATTTTATTGAGTTTTTACAGAGAGGAAAGGAGAGAGATAGAGAGTCAGAAACATCGATGAGAGAGAAACATCGACCAGCTGCCTCCTGCACACTCCCCACCGGGGATGTGCCCGCAACCCAGGTACATGCCCTTGACCGGAATCGAACCTGGGACCTTTCAGTCCGCAGGCCGACGCTCTATCCACTGAGCCAAACCGGTTTTGGCTATAAGACCTATTTTATTTATTGATTAAAACAAACAAACAAAAATTTGTGGCATGCTATTACCACATTTGGTAACTTGACATCCAGAGGATCTTTTTCAACACTGGCGGGATTTGGAGAAATTTCTGATTTAAATTATTCCCTTGGTTGAGTGGAAAAGAATTCTGAACAATTTTAAACTATGCAGTTCTTATCTTATCATTGATATGTTAATTAGTTTGGTTGAATTTCCATCCTACACTATTTATTTTTCTCCTATGAATATACCACAGAGTATGCTTTTGAATAAGTCACCTAAAATATATATAATTATTAGCTGTAATATCTGTGTAACTCATGCCAGTTCATTTGAAATATTAATTTAGACTGATGTGTTGCAGCTGAATTAGCTTTAGAAACTTAAATATGTATCTAATTTTAATTTTTTTATTGTGGAATATAATAAGAAAAGTACATAAAACAGAAATGTCCAGTTTAACAATTTATTGCAAAGCAAACATCAGCAGAACTACCATGCAAGTCAAGAAATAGAGCATTGCCCTAACCGGTTTGGCTCAGTGGGAGAGCGTCGGCCTGCGGACTGAAGGGCCCCAGGTTCGATTTTGGTCAAGGGCATGTACCTTGGTTGCGGGCATATCCCCAGTAGAAGGTGGGTAGGAGACAGCTGAAAGATGTTTTTCTCTCATTGATGTTTCTAACTCTCTATCCCTCTCCCTTCCTCTCTGTAAAAAATTAATAAAATATATTTAAAAAAAAGAAATACAGCATTGCCAGCACCCCAGAAATGTCTAATAGGCTCCTTTCCAACTATCACTTCTCTTATCTCTAGGGCTAACCATAATCCTGATTTTTATAGTATCCATTTCCTTACTTTTCTTTGTAGTTTTATCACCAAGTATGCAGCTCTAAACAGTATAACTTAATTTAACCTGTTTTTAAACTTTACAAGTGGAATAATACAGTCTGAATTCTTCAGTGTGTGACTAATACTTTAATACTGTATTCATGTTAGCCATTCAACAATAAAAAATGGCCAGCGTAGACTGAAGTAATGGGATATTGAACTGTATTTAAGCCTCTCTTCAGTAAAACTGTTCGGTGAGTCACCTGTCACAACATGTTTGATGCCTTTTCCTGCCCTTGAACTGCCTTTTTTATCATACAGGACACTGTTATAGGTGCCTAACAACAATCATGGTGAGTGGTGAAGGGCAGAGCACTAGGCATTGGAAATGGACATCTCAATGTCTATGAGACCTTAAATCATTTTGTAAATTTTATTGTTATAGGATTGACTATTATACTTTATAAAGATTCACTATCAAGATTTTAATAATGTGAATGTTAATGTATACAAATAGTAGATACGTATATATACATACATGTATTTATGACAGAGAAACACTTTAATCACCTAAAACATTTGATTTTATAGAAAAAAATACTTTGTTTTTCAGGTGAAACTTCCACCGATGATGGAAATCATAACTGCTGAACAGCTGATGGAATATTTAGGTTAGTGTTGAAAAGTGGATGATTTTATATCTCTTTTAAAACCAAGTGTTCAAAGCTAATATGTTACTAAGTCTGGTCAGTGTGGCTCAGTGGTTTAGCGTTGACCCATGAAATGGGAGGTCATGATTCCATTTCTGGTCAGGGCACCTGCCCAGGTTGCAGGCTCAAGCCCCAGTAGGGGGTGTCAGGAGGCAGCCGATCAATGGTTTTCTTTCATCATTGATGTTTCTTTTCTTTTTTTAAAAAATATATTTTATTGATTTTTTACAGAGAGGAAGGGAGAGAGATAGTTAGAAACATCGATGAGAGAGAAACATCAATCAGCTGCCTCCTGCACATCTCCTATGATAGCCGGAAGCCACAAAGCTGGAGCAAGCCAGAGGCTTTGTTGCCCCGGTGATGGAGGAAGCCAAGCTTCCTGCCTACCCTGGCAGGCTGTGGCCTCCGCAAAAGGCAACAAAGTTTCAATTATAGAAGACAAATAAATCCCAGATACCTGCTTCCATCTATCCTCCACTGGGAGCTTGGGTGGCTGGGGGCTTGGAGCCTGCAAACAGCCATCAGCCACTCACCAGACTGGCCAGGCATCCCAGCCTGACCCCCCCACCCTGAAGGGGATGTGGCGAGCCTGCAAACAGCCATCAGCCCCTCACCCAGGCTGGCCACACCCTCAAGGGTGAGGGTCCCTGCTGGGGGGCTTGACCAGCCTGCAAACAGCCCTCAGCCACTCACCCAGGCTAGCCAGGCACCCCAGCAGGATCCCCACCCTGAAGGGGGTGTGGCCAGTCTGAAAACGGCCCTCAATCCCTCACCCAGGCTGGTCAGGCACCCCAGGGGGACCCCCACCCTAATTCAGGACACCCTTCAGGGCAAACCAGCAGCCCCCACCCATGCACCAGGCATATAATAAAAGGGTAATATGCAAATTGAGCCTAACAGCAGAACAACTGGGAAAGACTGGTCACTATGACACACACTGACCACCAGGGGGCAGATGCTCATTGCAGGAGCTGCCCCCTGGTCGTCAGTGCACTCTCACAGGGGAGGCTCTGCTCAGCCACAAGCCAGGCTGACGGCTGCCAGCACAGCCTCTCCAGCCTCAGCAGCACTAAGGATGTCAGACTGCAGCTTAGGCCTGGTCCCCGCTGACAAGTGGACATTCCCCGAGGGCTCCTGAGCTGCCAGAGGGATATCTGTCTGCCAGCTTAGGCCCAATTCCCGGGGAGTGGGCCTAAGCCAGCAGGTGGACATCCTCCGAGGGGTCCTAGACTGCAAGAGGGCACAGGCCGGGCTGAGGGACACCCCCCCCACCCGAGTGCACAAATTTTTGTGCACTGGGCCTCTAGTAAATAAAATAAAAACGTATAAAAAATGTTATCAAATCTCATGTTCCAGAAGTGCTATTATATAATCTATTTTAAAATTATAATTTTTAATCTCTTAATTAGAATTTTTTATCAGTATGTCATTCTTTTTGGATGTTAAAGCCTTCTTTCTGATCAGGACTAAAATTCTATAATATTTATGAGACTGACAAACATCTAGAAAACACAAGATATATATTAATTCCAATAAGTTGCACAATGAGAAGTAGCACAGAAACTCTGATATTGCATATAGAAACTGTTTTTAAAAAATACTGATTATGCCCTAGCTGGTTTGGCTCAGTGGATAGAGCATTGGCCTGTGGACTTAAGGGTCAAGGGCACATGCCCAGGTTTTGGCTCGATCCCCAGTAGGGGGCATGTGGGAGGCAGCTGATCAATGATTCTCTCACATCATTAATGTTTCTATCTCTTTCTCCTTTCCCTTCCTTTCTGAAATCAATAAAAACATAAAAAAATAAAAATTAAAAATACTGATTAGCCTTCAATAAAGACCCAGGAGGTGATTTAGAGCAGTGATACCCAAAGTATGATTCATGGACCTGTGCCCATTTATGAAATGTTAGCTATTAGAATGCAGTGAGATAGGGGCTTGTGCCAGTATGTAAAACATTTACAAGAGTAAGCACACTGTTTAGTTCATCTGAAACTTTTTCATAGCAAAATTTTCTTGGTGAAGGAAGTAGTGTATTGAATTGAATTCTTAATGCAAGCCTCTTATTTCAAAACAGACCATCAATACACAGTTTACAGACCAGTTGCATTGAGTAGGACTTGTTTACAGAGCAGGTAGTTGTATATCACACTGAGATCTTTTCTGGTTTAACAAAAAAAAGTTTATATATTTACTAGAGGTCCAGTGCACAAAATTCATGTACTCAGTGGGGGAGGGGTCCCTCCTCCCGGCCTGCGCCCTCTCGCTGTCTGGCAGCTCTTGGGGGATGTCTGACTGCCACGGAGGCGGGAGAGGCTCCCGCCACCACTGCTGCACTCACCAGCTGTGAGCCCGGCTTCTGGCTGAGCAGTGCTCCCCCTGTGCGAGCACACTGATCACCAGGGGACAGCTCCTGCATTGAGCATCTGCCCCCTAGTGGTCAATGTGGGTCATAGTGACCGGTCGTTCCACCATTTGGTCTATTTGCATATTAGCCTTTTATTATATAGGATACTATTACCAAATTGAAATCTTAATCCATATTCTCACAATGTTTTTAGTAATTAAATTTTTATTTTTTTAAAAAATTGTCAGCTGATTACTTTGTCTTTGTCATTCCAGAATACTAGCTAACTTGTTTTTTTGTGAGATGTAGGGTTAGTGAAGTAATTGAGATTGCAGCTTTTGGAAGACCCTTTTCTTTGTGTAATATTATTTCATTACTAGAGGCCCTGGGGGGTAGGGTGTCCCTCAGCCCAGCCTGCGCCTTCTTGCAGTCCAGGACCCCTTGGGAGGATGTCTGACTGCTGGCTTAGGAGCAGGCTTAAGCCGGGAGTTGCACATCCCCTGAGGGTCCTTAGTGCTGCCACAGAGGTGAGAGAGGCTCCTGCCATCGCCGTGAGCCTGCCTTCTGAACAAGCAGCCCGCCCCCTGTGGGAGTACACTCACCACCAAGGGGCAGCTCCTGCGTTAGATTTATAAATTATATTTAAGGGGGAAGCTAAAATATGTTTGATGCTTTTGAGCAGCCAGTATGACTGTCAAGTAGTGTGTAAAGGGGAGGTAGTAGCAAATGAGAGAAAAATAATAGGGTCGGATCATATAGGGCTCTGTGGACTATTATAACAATGTTGACTTTAGCTGGGAGTAAGCTGGGAAGTCATTAGAGAATTTTGAATAGAGAAATGACATGATAGGACTTTGAGTTTAATAAGAATTATCTGGCTGTGATGTTGAAATAGAACTTAGGGCCCTGGCCAGTTTGCTCAGTAGTTAGAGCATTAGCCCACAAACCTTCAATGAAGAGTGAGATATTAGCTGGATCTAATGCTGTGAGTAGTTCTAGCAGGAAGAAGACTTAAAATTTGACCATTGATTGAGCCATAAGGAGGCCATTGATAACCTTGACATGTAAGTGCCTGGAATGAAAACAGGCTTGGAGTGAGTACAAGAGAAAACTGGAAATCCTCATATACAGCCAATAGGAATGTAACAGAGCTCATTTTGTCTCAGAAAGTTTGCAGACAAAAGCAAGTAGAGAGTGGTAAAAGCAGGGAGGACATTTGGAATATTAATATCACTTAAATGTTAGCAAAGCTTTGAGGAAACAGGTCATAGGGTAGAAATTTTTAATAGGGAAAAAGAAACATTAATGAAGAAATATCTAGATCTGGGGTATTTGAAAGTTTTGGGTGAGGGGGAATCAGCAACTAAGAGCAGCGTGAAAGCAGTATCCTAATGGGAGGTAGGGGGAAAGTGAGCAAGAGTGGTATGAGAAAATAGATTCTGAAGAATTTGCCTCACCAAAAGTAAACTTTATTCAGGGCCAATCCTGCTAGGGCAAATTGTTTAATTTTCTAAACTATTTGATTTTTTTCCTCTTGAGATTACTCCAGCTCTTTAGAGAAACCAGAGACACTTTTGAGTTAATAAGTAAACACTTGTAGAAAGATTATAAGAGAAACCATTAATTGCTTTTCTGGCGCCTAGCTGAGAAACCACAAGGGAATGGGAATTTTGATTGGCATAGGTTAGATGAGGAGTGAATTTTAATTTGGAAATTTCTTACTAGAATAGTAGAGCAGGGCCATACATGGACAAGGTTTGTTGGAGAGCTTTGGCATAAAGAAAAGAACAAGACAAGCTAGAATATCTAGGAAATGCTAGGAGGTCTAATAAAATAAGGTGAGGAAGAAGTGTAGGTGGAAGGTAGAAAATGGATAGAAAGATAATGTATAAAAAGTATAATGCAAATTGGAATTTATGTTGTAACTTTACTCATCTGAAATAGTTTGTGTGATGATTAGACTAAAATAAGGTGGCACTTATTACATTTTAACTATATTATACTTTATCATTATCTTATTCCTTTCCCTGTATGTTGTTTGCCCAACCAAATTATTTTTTTGGAGTGTTTTGTGTGCGTTTTTTTTAATATATTTTTATTGATTTTAGAGAGGAAGTGAGAGGGAGAGAGAGGTAGAAGCATCAGTGTTGAGAATCATTGATCGGCTGCCTCCTGCACGCCCCCTACTGGGGATCGAGCCCACAAACCAGGTATGTGCCCTTGACTGGAATCGAACCCGGGACCCTTCAGTCCACAGACTGACACTCTATCCACTGAGCCAAACCAGCCAGGGCAAATTATTGTTTATAAAGAGAACCATGTATTTCCTAATATTTGTTTTTACCCATTACTAGACATATAGTCCACTCTCAATAAATAGTTTTGCTTTCTTTGCTTTTTTTTTTTTTTCTTTATTTGTATTTATTTTATGCTGAATTTATTCCTGGGCCATAGGTTTGGTTTTCTTTTCTTTTCTTTTTTTTAATATGTTTTTTTTATTGAGAGAGAGATAGAAACGTCGATTGGCTGCCTCCTGTATGCCCTCCACCGGGGATTCAGCCTGTAACCAGGGCATGTGCCAGCAACAGGAATCAAATTGGTGACCTCTCAGTGCCTGGGAGGACAGTTCAACCAACTGAGCCACACAGCACACAGGCCAGGACTGGGGCCATTAATTTTTGTTTCTTCTGGGATATCTTTTTCTTCTGTGCAACCTCCTTTTCTGTTTTGGGAACAGTCTGCTCTTTTTCAGTAAGGATCCTCTCAATGTGGTAGAGAGGGCTGAAGTATGGGTTAATCCACCCATGAGCTCTGTAAATTCTATGTTGCATCTTGGGAATTTTGTGCACCTGAATGTGTTCAATGACCAGAGAATATATATCTAAACCAGTGGTTCCCAAACTTATTTGGGCTACCGCCCCCTTTCCAGAAAAAATATTACTCAGCGCCCCCTGGCAATTAATTTTTTTAAAATTTTAATAGCAATTAAACCGAAAGATATATGTATTAATGTTTCTACCTTTTTCGTAAAATATAGTAAAGAAAGGTGTAAATTAGAAACATTGAAGTTTGAAATTATGAAACTATTTATTGAACTCAGAATAGAAAGGTAATACAAAAAAAGTTAAAACAAATGCACCTGTGGCCATCCCCGCCCCCCTGGATCGCTGCAGCGCCCACCAGGGGGCGGTAGCGCCCACTTTGGGAATCACTGATCTAAACCCTTAAGTCAGCATTCTCTGCATTTTTAACCATGTGCAGCAAAAATTCAACACTCTTTTTGGGCCACCAACCCTGTGTCCAACCCCACTGTTTGGTCGGGGCACATCTACCAACTCCACCATTGTAATGACGGAATGGCACGCATTGCTTCTGTAAAGTGACATCCTGTAAATACTTGGTGGCTTTTTGAATATGCATACCCTTGATGGCCTGGGCAGTTTCACAAGTGTTCTTAAAGTGAACATGAAGATTTGAACATTTTGATGTGCATGATTTTGTGGGGCTTTCTGGGTCAAGTAAAGAGCAAACTATTTTCAGAGGTCACCTCTGGCTGCTTCCGGGAAGAACTGAATAAATAGTTATTGACTCAAATAATATTGTTGACCAGTTTCAGATGATAAAGGTTAGAAAAGCTAGACAAAATAGCACTCTTGAGAGAAGATTTATTTAGGTATCTAAAACTGAAAGATGTTCCCTTAAAAACTCAAACTCTGCCTTTTTTGTTTTGTTTTGTTTTGTTAATCCTCACCTGGAAGGTATTTTTTCCATTTCTTTTCAGAGAGAGGGAAGGGAGGGAGGGTGGAGAAGTGGGGGGGAACATCGATGTGAGAGAGACTGGTTGCTACTGGCTGCCTGCAACACATGCCCTGACCAGGGGCAGGGAGTAAACCCACAACCCATGTACATGCCTTTGACCAGACCCTTCAGTATGCAGGCCAATGCTCTAACCACTGAGCAACCAGACAGTGTCAAACTCTGCCTTTTAAAAATATCTGATTCTACACCCTAGCCCATTTAGCTCAGAGGATAGAGCGTTGGCCTGTGGACTGGGTTCAATTCCAGTCACGGGCACATGCCCGGGTTGCAGGCTCAATCCCCAGTAGGGGGCGTGCAGGAGGCAACCAATCAATGATTCTCTCATCATTTGATGTTTCTACCTTTCTCTCCCTTTCCCTTCCTCTCTGAAATCAATAAAAATAATAATAATAATAAATAAAAATATCTGATTCTTCTATCAAATGAAATATAGGATGCAAGTATAGCAATTATGTTCTCAAATATATATGTATGTGTGCCATATATTATATGGACTCAGAAATATTTGTTACATAGACTTTCTTATATATCTCTGAAAATCAATTTGTTTAGTGCTTTTGGAGTTCTTGTATCTATGCAGAATAAAATCTTTCCTAGATTTTGCTATCTTTATTTATTTTGTTTTTTTAAACATCTATTATTGAAAATACTAGATGCCCAGTGCACGAATTCGTGCACAGGGGGAGGGAGGTCCCTCAGCCCAGCCTGCACCCTCTCACAATCCAGGACCCCTCAGGGGTTGTCCAACTGCCAGTTCAGTCAGACATCCCTCTCGCAGTCCGGGACTGCTGGCTCCTAACTGATCGCCTGCCTGCCTGATCGCCCCTAACCACTCTGCCTGCCTGCCTGATTGCCCCCAACTGCTCACCTGCCGGCCTGATCATCCCTACCAGCATCTGCCTCAGTCCCTGCCCCCACGGCTTTGTCCAGAAGGACATCCGGAATGAGGTCCAAAAGGTCGTTCAGCTGTCCGGTCTAATTAGCATATTACACGTTTATTATTATAGATAGATGTCCCACTTTTTCCCATTGACCCCTTCTACCCCACACCCACCTACATTTTCCTATCCTAAGTTCTAATTAAAAGTACAAATAATAGCATGGCCATTGTAGCTCAGTGGTTGAGTGTTGACCTATGAACCAGGGGGTCACAGTTTGATTTCTAGTCAGAGTACATGCCCAGGTTGTGGACTTGATCCCTAGTGGGGGGTGTGCAGGAGGCAGCCGATTGATGATTCTTTCTCATCATTGATGCTTTACCTATCCCTCTCCCTTCTTCTCTTAAATCAATAAAATATATTTTGGGGAAAAAACTACAAATAATATATTAATGTTAGGAGTTTTTTTGTTTTTTTTTAGCAGAGTTGGAAAGCTTAAGAGAAGACTTGTAGACGTTTATTTTGAATTAGAAAATAAAGGTTGTATTATAAAAAATTTCATCAACTTGTTAGTGATTTGGGAGGCTAGGTGAGAAGCTGGTGTTATATATAACTGTTTATATCAAAATAAATACCAGGTAAATTAAAGATTTAAACATTAAAAAAGATAAAGTTATATGAAGAAGGCATATGTGAATGTTTCTATATTTTTAAAAAATTGATTTTAGAGAGAGGAAGTAGGGGAAAGAGAGAGAGAGAAACATTGATGTGAGAGATGTCCATCGACTGCCATCCTCACATGCACAACCTGGTTATGTGCCCTGACTGGGAATCAAACCCACCATCCACTGGTGTATGGGATGACTTCTCCAACCAACTGAGTGAGCCACACTGGCCAGGGCTGTTTTTATACTTTTAAGATTTGAAGATCTTTCTACAAATGACATCCAACCAAGAAGAATTTGACTATATTAAAATTAAATATTTCTGTATCACACAAAAAATAGACAAAAAAGCATAACCATAAAGTTAGAAGCCAATATGGGGGGGAAATATTTACCACATGTATAATAATGTTCTAATTTCTCTAATTGAAAAGAGCTTTTACAGTTCAGTAATAAGAAATAATACTTGTGTAGGCAGGCAATTAAGAGAAGAGTATATATAGTTAATACATAATTAAAAAGACAAAACATAGATAAGGCACTGCAGATGTTAAAATAGAGCTACATATATTTAAAAGGTGCCACATATACCAAAAGTCATATATATATTAAATAGGTGATACCAAGTAAAAATACATATATAAAATATATCAATTTTTTAAATGCAAAAAATTTTTGTTTACTTCTCAGAATGGCGCAAACATTTAGAAGACTGATAACACCCATTCTTGGAAAGGTAATGGGGTAATGGTAATGTTATTAATAACAGTGAAACTTGGTACAGCCATTTAGAGCTTTATTGTAGTAACATGGAAAGATGCTCAAATATATTATAAACTGGAAGAAAGAGAAAGCTCAAAAGCATTAGAGTATGTAATTGAAAAAAATATATGAGACAACCCTGGCCAGTGTGGCTTGGTTGGAGAGTTGTCCCAGAAACCGAAGGGTTGCGGGTTCAATTCCTTGTCAGGGCACATAAGTAGGTTGTGGCATTGGGTTTGACCCATGGTTGGGGTGCATCCAGGGTGTGGGGGCTGATTGATGTTTCTCTCTTACTTTGATGTTTCTCTTCCTCTCTCTCTAAAATCAATGGACATATCCTCGGGTGAGGATTAAAAATATATATATGTGAGACTAATATCAATTTTCTCTGATTAGAATTAGGTGGTTAATTTTATATGTCACTTATTGCTGTAATTTAAAATTTAAATCTAATCTTTTTAAAAGGCAACTTCACAATTTCTTTTTACAGGAGATTACATGCTTGAAGCAAAGCCAAAAGAAATTTCAGAAATTCAACGTTTAAATTATGAACAGGTAATATAAACAATTTTTATTATATTAAAATTATGTAATTTTTAACTTAAGGATGTATTCATTGATCTCTATCAATGGCCAGTCTCTGTTTTATATGAAAATATATGCTATATAGAATGAAACATAGATATTATTCTACAGGCCTACGTAAAATGGTAACCTGGTATTTTCTTTGCAAAGTTGATTTTCAAGTGATTTTGTCTTTGATTCATCTTTCCTCATGTTATTTAAAGTAAGCAGTTGTTAGATACTGTTTGTTACAACTTTGAAACAAAACCTTTACCATTCGCTTTGAGAGTAGTAATGTATCAAGCTGATATTGCTAAGTGTAAGCTGGTGTTTAATGTTCCACAGGTATGATGTAATATGTTCTATTTTATGTGAGCAGAAATGGTCAAGCCTAAATTTTAGGAAGACCAATGCAGAGCTATAACCTTCCTAATTAAACCCTTTTTACCAGAGATTGTAATGTAAACTAAGAGCACATTTTTCCCAGTTTTGCTTACACAAGGCAACATTGTATTTATGTGTTTCTATGACAGTTTTTTAAATGACTACAAGTAGATTTTTAAAATATTTTTATATGGCCCTAGCCAGTTTGGCTCAGTGTTTTGAGCATAGGCCCATAGACTAAAGAGTCACGGGTTCAATTCTGGTCAAGGGCACATACCTCGGTTGCAGGCATTGATGTTTCTCTCTCTCTCTCCCCCTCCCTTCCACTCTCTCTAAAAATCAATGGAAAAATATCCTTGGGTGAGGATTAACAAAAAGATTAAAAAAATATTTTGGTATGTTAGAAGTACCTTTGGGTGACCTCGACCCATGCACTAGGAAGTCGCTGGTTCAATTCTCAGTCAGGGCACACACCCAGGTTGCGGGCTTGATCCCAATAGTGGGCATGCAGGAGGCAGCTGATCCATGATGTTTCTCTCTCATTGATGTATCCCTCTCCCTTCCTCTTTCTAAAAATCAATAAAAACATATATAAGGGGAAAATTCTTTTTTTATTCTTTTTTTATTAAATCATTATTGTTCAGATTATTACAGTTGTTCCTCTTTCCCCGCCCCATAGCTCCCCTCCACTAATTGGTGGGTGTCCTCTCTCCTATTCCTTCAGCCACTCAAGCTTTTTCTACCTTTCGGCTCCATCATCCTTGGGGCCTCCGAGTCTTTTGTTGGATACTCTGCAGGCAGCTAACAGGTGGGGATAGGAAATGAGCCTGGATAATCACAGGAGACATTTTCTTTTAAAAATTTTAAAGTTTATTTATTGCTTTTTAGAGGGATGCCCTGCCTGAGGTTTGACCCGGAACTGAGGTATATTGGGACGATGCTCTAACCAACTAAACTACCTGCCCAGGGACAGAAGATATTCTTAGCGGTCCTATCTAGAAATGGCATGTTGATTGTATTCCATTGGACAACCTCAGTGACATGGCCACATATAGATTCAAGAGAAATACTGGGAAAATGTAGAATTTGGCCAGGAAGAGGGTTCACAGCAATGAAATGTGAAAAGGTAGCACATCTCTTATTTCAAATCTTTGACTTGATTCTTGTGATCCTCTAGTCCGCTGTCGGGTCTCTGTATAATATTCTTTATTTCAGTCTGTATATGCTTAATTTCTATTTGGTCCTTTTTCATGTCCTCAATGGTCTCACTAGATTTATTGAGGGACTTACTAAATTTATCAGCGGTCTCACTAGACTTATTGAGGGTCTTACGTAATTTATCGACGGTTTCTAGAAAATTCTTGAAAAACCTTAAAAGTGTGGTTTTGAACTCTATATCCAGTAGTTTGCTAAAAAATAGTTCAACCACTGACTTACAGGAACCAATAGTAATTCTGCTGATATAAACAACCTTTCCTAGGATCTATATTCTATATTTTATATTATCATAACTTTGATTTAGGAAAAAGATGACAAAATACCTACCCCTTTAAACTTTTTTTTTAAAATATATTTTATTGATTTTTTTTTTTTACAGAGAGGAAAGGAGAGAGATAGAGATAGAGAGTTAGAAACATTGATGAGAGAGAAACATCGATCAGCTGCCTCCTGCACACCCCCCACTGGGGAAGTGCACGCAACGCAGGTACATGCCCTTGACCGGAATCGAATCTGGGACCTTTCAGTCTGCAGGCCGACGCTCTATCCACTGAGCCAAACCGGTTTCGGCCCCCTTTAAACTTTTTGTTTATAAATTTGTTGATTTTTTATCACTTTATTTATGGAGCTTATCATATGATATCAATTTATTTTAATACTATGTAATCTATAAAAAATGTGGAAGATATATAAAGGTGTAAGCTATGCCTATGGTTTTGAGAAGCCCTGTGCCATCTAGCAGCGAGCCATTCTTCCTTGTATCAAGGGTTATGATGTGATTGCTCAAGCCCAATCTGGGATGGGAAAATACTCACTTTTCCCAAATGGATTCTGCAACAGACTGAGTTGGATCTAAAGGCCACCCAGGTCTTAGCCCTGGCATCCACTAGAGAATTGACACAGCAGATACAGAAGGTAGTCATGGCTTTAAGAGATTACATGGTGGCCTCCTGCCTGCCTTGGGGGTACCAGTGTGTGTGCTGAGTTGCAGAAGCTGCAGATGGAAGCTCCCCATATCATCGTGGGCACCCCAGGCCATGTGTTTGATATGCTTAACCACAGATACCTGTCTCCCAAATACATCAAGAGGTTTGTACTAGATGAAGCTGATGAAATGTTAAGCCATGGGTTCAAGGACCAGATCTATGACATATTCCAAAAGCTCAACAGCAGCACCCAGGTGGAATTACTGTCAGCTACAGTGCCTTCTGATGTGCTTGAGGTGACCAAGAAGTTTATGAGGGACCCCTCGGATTCTCGTCAAGAAGGAAGAGTTGACTGTGGAGGGTATCTGCCGATTCTTCATCAGTGTGAAAGGACAGTGGAAGCTGTACACGTTGTGTGACTTGTATGAAACCCTCACCATCACCCAGGCAGTCATCTTTATCAACACTGGAAGAAAAGTTGATTGGCTCACAGAGAAGATGCACACCTGAGACTTCACTGTCTCTGCTTCGCATGGATATATGGACCAAAAGGAATGAATTGTAGTAATGAGGGAGTTCCACTCTAGCAGAGTATGGATTACTTCACACCTGATGGCCAGAGATATTGATGTGCAGCAGGATTCTTTAGTCATCAACTATGACCTTCCCACCAACAGGGAAAACTATATCCACAGAATCAGTTGGGGTGGACCTTTTGGCCATAAGGGTGTGGCTATAAATATGGTAACAGAAGAAAACAAGAGGACTTTTTGTTGTTGTTGTTAATCCTCACCGGAGGATATTTTTCCATTTTTAAAGAGAGTGGAAAAATTGGGGAGAGACAGAGAGAGAGACACGTCGATTGGTTGCCTCCATACACACCCTGACCAGTGCTGGGGATTGAGCCTGCAACCAAGGTACATGCCCTTTACCAGAATTGAACCCGGGACCCTTCAGTCCACAGGCCGATGCTCTATCCACTGAGCCAAACCATCTAGGGCAAGAGGACTCTACAACACCTCCATTGAGGAGATGCCCCACAATGTTGCTGACCTCATCTCAGAGGGGCTGGCCTGCTGCCTTATCCCAGCCAGGGTTCTCAGTCCTTGGCAGGCTGAGGAGGAGCAGGAGGGGAGAGGGAGTGGAGCCAAGGGATGGCTACCTTGTCATTTTCTTTTCTTTTCCTTTGAATAAATGTCACTTTTTGAGGCAAAAAAATAAAATAAATTTGCATATAACTTTTGTTTTCTCCCAGAATTTTGCTAATAGCCTACTTGTTGACCAGAACCCTTACCAATAATATACTGTAAACAGCCTATTAACACATATTTTGTATCTTATAAGTATTATTTACTGTATTATAATGAAATAAGCTAGAGAAAAGAAAATGTTAGGAAAATCATAATGAAAAAATATAATATTGAATGTCAACTATAATTTAAAAATAATAAAGGAAATCATAAGAAAGAAAAATACATTTACAATATTTACTGAAAAAGCTGTTTGTATAAGTGGATGCATGTAATTCAATCTCATGTTATTCTAGGGTCAACTATATTTGGGGAAACATAGTTATTAGAAAGGTGAAACTGATGAAAGTCAAAGATTATATAATAACTAGAGGTCCAGTGCACAAATTTGTGCACGGGTGGGGTCCCTCAACCTGGCTGGTGATCGAAGCCTATTGGGGGACTGGCCAGCTAGCCAGGGAGAGAGGCTGCAGGAAGTTGGCAGGCCAGGGAGAGGGGCCACCGAAGGCTGTGTACTGACCACCAGGGGGCAGCTCCTGCATTGAGCATCTGCTCCCTGATAGTCAGTGCGTGTCATAGCAACTAAT